TGCTGTCGTCCATGGAGATGAGCAGCCTCCTCCACTGGCACAGGCCATCTTCCCAAGGTAGAAAGCCCGAACTATCAGCTGAAACGTGCTCCAGAAATGCTGGTTCCTCTGCACTGAGCAGACGGAGTCTAGTTGACTAGGTCAGCGGCCATGCCAGACACAAGACAAGGCTGGTTCCTCTGCACTGAGCAGACGGAGTCTAGTTGACTGGGTCAGTGGCCATGCCAAACACAAGACAAGAGCAATCTTGACGGAGGTGTTGACTTTCCTTGCCCAGTACAGGATGGAGCTCCTGCGGGGCCAGGGGGCTTTGCCCCTACTTCAGCTGCCTGGACCCCAGTAGCTGAGGCAACATTCACCCCCACGTGGACTGTGGTGTTTGCACTGAGCAGACGGAGTCTAGTTGACTGGGTCAGTGGCCATGCCAAACACAAGACAAGAGCAATCTTGACGGAGGTGTTGACTTTCCTTGCCCAGTACAGGATGGAGCTCCTGCGGGGCCAGGGGGCTTTGCCCCTACTTCAGCTGCCTGGACCCCAGTAGCTGAGGCAACATTCACCCCCACGTGGACTGTGGTGTTGGCATGAAGCACCTTCCTGGGATGAGGTGGGAGGTTTCTTTTGCATGTTGTGGCTGAGGAAAGGTAATGGTGTGCCTTGGGAAAGAACTAACGGTGCGTGACTGCCTCATTTCACTGCAAACTCACGTAAACCTTTCTTGACATTGAAGGGAGCATCCTGGATATGTCATCTTCTTGAAACAAACTCACATGCTTTATTCTTTATTTCCACTTTCTCTTTTTAGACTAAATCTTCAGCTATGTGCCCTTAAACAGTAGGAAATGTCTTTAGATTTCTCCAATTCTGCCTGCTTCAAAGAATTTTAGCCAAAACTTTAATTAAAAAGAGAAGTAAGAGCAGCTCTGAAGTCCAGCTGTTTCTGCAGGTGCCCAGGAGAGCCCTCCAAATGACCTCTTTTCAGTTCCTCAGCATAAGGATGTGTCTGTTCTCCAGATTTTCTGCTTCTCTGCCCATTTCCTGTGCAGGTCACCTGGACGTCTCCTCACATTAGGAGAATTTGCTGGGATGGAAAGGTGTTGGGTATCTTTGCAGGTGGTGGTGCTGAGCACTGCCATGCCCTGTGTCCATGTGATTTCCAAAGAGGATCCCAGAGACTGGCTTCTCTTATTAACTCGGCTGGCAGCTCCTGTGCTAGGACGGGCCAGTCCTGAACTAAATTCCTTTCTATTTTATTTAAGTATAAAAAGAGGAAAGTCTTCTCTTGGTGACTTTCTGTAACAAGCCAGTCGCTTTTTGCTTTGGGTTGTGGATTGCCTGCTGGAGGTTGATGATGCTTCAGAGATTTATTGAGCTGCAGTTGCCTTAATAAAATCTTCACCTTTGCCCAGATCTCCAATCCTATATTTTCTATAAGTTATGCAGCATTACAGAGGGACTTTATGGATACGTTCTCATATTTCTTTTCAGGCTTGAGTCAGTTCCCATCCATAGCATCTGTTGCCAGCTTCCTTCTCCATCACCCAAAGCCCAGAACTTTAACCTCTTGCTAACACTTATAGGCTCACATTTTGGCTCCAGTTCAACTTCAGGTTTGTCCAGTGTTTGCTTCCATTTGTCATATTCTGAGCCTTGCAGAAGAAGGTTCTTCAAGAAACTGCCTGTTTATCCTTCAGGCTGGGTATTGGAGCAGATAAAGAAATAAAGAGTAGTTTCTGTTGGGATGAATTAATATACTTCTGTATATTCATATATATGAATATACTTCTGCAAAATGTAGACAAAATGTCTACAAAATATCTGCAAAATGGGGAGGGGCTTGTGTTTATCAGCTGCAGAGACCCTGCTTATTGCCTCTCTCCTGCCTGGAGCCTGCAGTGCTCTCAGAGCACCCTCCCACCCACATTTCCGAACTGTAGGTCCAGAGGTGCTGTTTATTTTTTTGTTATGTGGCACAACCTGTCCTTTCTCACCCATTCCTTTATGCTTTTGTCAGAGGGAGATTTTGAGATTTTCAGGTTGATTTCCTATCCTTCTTTCTTTTGGTGCAGGCATGGTCTTTAAGAGCTGATGTTCTCCGGCAGCATCCATACCACCACTGACTTCACATATTTCCTGGGCATTTTAACCCAGCTAGTAGGTCTCAGGTTCAGACCTGAAAGTTTGCTGCAACTACTGCTTTACTGCATTCCCTCACATACAGTCCTCAGGTCTACCCACCCAACTATTCAGACACCGTTAGGCATGCATATATACGTATATATGTGTGTGTATATACATATATGTATATGGTAATACTCAGAAAAACTCTTTGCCTGCTTTTACCCAGATTGATGCTTCTACAGCAGCAGCCACCTTGCCTCTGTCTTTGATTTTTCTCAGTGCTGTTGTACAGGTTACTGTGCCTACTTACTTTCAGCGCTTTTCAAAGGGTGCCGATGAGTTGCCAGGTAGAAGTGCAAGTACAGAATTACTCCAGAGAGCTGCAGCACTCTGGTTCAGAAGTTATGAAAAGAGTCTTTTATCTTGGGTTAGCAACTGGGAATTGAGATAATCAAGTAATCAGCATAATGGCTTTGGAATTATCACAAAAAGCAGTCCCCCGTCTCTCCCACTTCTCCAGTTTACTGCTAGTGAGTTACTGGTTTAATCTCAGTTCAGCAATGCTGACTTTTATCATGAACCCTTGTGGATTTTAGCCTTCAGCAGTCCTGGTCCGAATGGGTTTCGTTGCCCTCTGAGCATCTGTCCTGCAGTTCCTGGCACAGCTCCCAGGCATGGTGCATTAGAGGAGATTTGGGGGGGGGGCAGTGGTGTCCGTGAGATAACAGTGGGCAAGTGGCTTGTCTCCATGTGTCAGCTCTCAGGCTGCCATTCGGGCAGCTCAGGAGAAAAGCCATTATGTCAACTGGCTGAAAGCACATCAAATCCCAAAGGCAATTAGCTGTCTGTGAAGGCATTTATAGTGCAGTGCGTTTAGGTGCAAGTTTGGGAGGGAGGGGGCATGGCCGTGGGCATGGAGCTTTGCTGGATGGAAAGCATCTCTGACATTCACAGCCCTGCAGGTGAACAGGGTGTTTCTAAGCAAATTGCTTAAAGTCTTTTAGGATTTTGCCCCTTACAGAGCAGACCTGTATGTACATAGGAGACTGCCAATTGTGTTTCAGCCTAGGAAGAAACAAGACCAGTTTCAGCTCCTGAGAGCTGTATGAGACCTGTGTGAGGTCTTACCAAAAGCCGTGCTAACCACTCCCAACGCCGTAGGCAATTTTTTTTTTTTTTTTTGCTGTTTATTTGATGAGTGGTAGGATTTGAGAATTATTTTACATTTGTTTCAGAAGTTAAATAGAGATAACTGCACTGGGAGAGTGCTCCATTGGGCCAGACAGCAAGGAGGTGGAGGGCATGACCTGCAACACAGAGAGGAAATTGAATCTCCTGGTTGAACATTTACAGTCTATGTCTGGATTCACTCAGGTCCTCTTAAATAACAGAGCAGCATCAAATTAGGAGCGTTTGACAGTATAGTCCAATAGTTTTGGTTTTGATATCTCCATATTATGTGAAGGAATCAAAGATACTGTCTGTCCATTCTTTCTTACCTGCCTACCCTGCAGACACTAAATTTGTGAGACATGCTGGGAAAAAACAAGAGCACAAGAGAAAGAATCATGTATTTTATTTCAGAATGGAGATTTATAAAGCTTCTTGTCTCTTCTTATCAGCTACTTAAATTTGTAACATTTCCCCAATTTAATGAATCTGTAAGAATAGGAATAAGTTGTTTTCCTTTGGGGAGGTGAAACTAAAAGATCTAGAAGATGTAGAAATATTTACATATGGTCCTAAACTACGTGTTTGTTATAATAACATAGAAATTATGAAATTCTGTGTGTGGGCTGGGGAAAGTTTGTGCTACACCACAGTCTAATGTCACCTTTTTCTTTGCTTCAGGAACCCCAGTTTGGTTCTACATGCAAATTGCACCCATAAGAAATGAGCATGAAAAAGTGGTTTTGTTCCTGTGCACTTTTAAGGATATCACTTTATTCAAACAACCGATTGAAGATGATTCAACAAAAGGTAAATGTGAAATACAGTATTTTTCTTTGGTAAATAGTAAAGTACGTGCTTGACCTCGGTCCTATGACAGAGACATGTCATGCCTGTGAACTGTGTCTTGAATTCAGGATATGTTTTGTGACCTGCTGGACTTTCGATGCCACCCTCCTAAATTATTGCTTAAAAATAAAAGAAAAATCACCATGAGTGGAAATTCCCTAACAACATTTTGCTAGAGTAACAAGCCTTCCTTTCTCTTTGTAATTTCACTACTTTTTCACTACCTCTTTTTTTTTCTTTTTTTTTCCTTTTTTTTTTTTCCCCCCCTGGCATTTGCTAAAAATTACATCGTTTTGAGTCACAAGCCTTCCTTTCTCTTTGTAATTTCACTGCCTTTTCACTACCTCTTTCCCCCCCCCTCCCCTGCCCCGGCATTTCCTAAAAATTACATAGTTTTGAGTCGTTTTTTAATGCTGTGTTGTTTTAGGGGACCTTTCTCTTAAGGGACTGGTATGTTCTTTTCAGAATAAAATAATTCCAGCTCCTTTGTGCTGTTCTTTTCTCACTCTTGGAGATGAAATGCAAAAGAAAAAGCCCATTTGGGTCCTTATTACTGGCCAGCAATGATGAGTGCATGGCACTGGATGTTGTACTTGTTATTTAACAGCTACTGGTGATGGTTTTTGTTGAGACATGCCATGCTCTCATCACCTAACGACCCATGGCCAGACCTGCAGCCTTGCACAAGAGAGAATTTGGTTATAAGACATGTGTCTTGTGTCAGGTTCACATGTGTATTGCTTTGGGTAAAATAATGCACACTTACATAAAGAAGGGCATTTGTGCTACAGCATTCACATTCCATCTTCTCTCGGAAGTTGCTTTCTGATGGTTAATTCCTTGCTATATTTTTCTCTTCATGCTTGGAGAAGGCTTGATTTCTCACTGAGTGCTGCGTGTGCTCTAAGCTGTCTTCTTCAGAATAAACTGGTATCATTTGAATGTGAACAGGATTTAAATTAACTTCTTATGATCTAGATAACACTTATTGCATGTGTTTGGATAACTGAGAAGTAGATTTATAAAGGCAGACTTAAAATAAAACGAAAGGCCTCTCTTTGGGCTAACACCAAATATGAGAATTTTTTTTTTGTCTAGAGAGTATTGTCCATGAAGTTGTAAGATCCTGATACAGGAATGTCTTCTCAGCCATCGTAAGCCTTACTACAATTTAGTTAGCAACCTGCAAATGTTCCTTTATTTCACTTTCAGCCCCACAATGTGAAATTCTTCTGCCTGGAAATAATCTGAATTTTTTAGGATAAATGCCAGTTAATTGAAAGGACTTTTAATTGTAGAGGTCTGAAGGCATGGGACTGGCTCTTTGCTTCTCAGCCATCGTAAGCCTTACTGCCACTACAATTTAGTTAGCAACCTGCAAATGTTCCTTTATTTCACTTTCAGCCCCACAATGTGAAATTCTTCTGCCTGGAAATAATCTGAATTTTTTTTAGGATAAATGCCAGTTAACTGAAAGGACTTTAATTGTAGAGGTCTGAAGGCATGGGACTGGCTCTTTGCATCAGTGTATATAATATGTAGTGGGAGCTCATCAAGGAAAAAGCCAATCTTTGCAGGGATTCTCTTTCAGGATTTCCTATTTCATGCTTTCTGGAGGAACTGAGATGTATCTCACATGGAACCTGCCCCTGGACCTCCCCCTTTCACCAGCTCTGCCCCACTTTCCACTGTATGTAGTTGCACTGAGGGGTGTGTGGCTGCAGCAGGACAGGGAAAACGTATTGAAGGTGGCTCCTGAACGCAGAAATGATGACTGTTGGCTCCTTTGGATTCTTGGCCTGGGAGATTAGTACTCTGCTGCCTTCCCTGGGGAGGCAGGGATGTGCTGAGGGGGCAAAGCTCTCCCCATCCCTTTCTTGTGGCTGAGGAGCAGAATACATTTGGCATCCATTATAGGAACAATATATGTCCCTATGGGAAAGAGCAACGGCTGTGAAGTGCGTAACTTGTGTACTGCTGCTCTCCAGTGAAGGGTACCATTAGTTAAAATGCCAGGTATTAACTATGAACATTGCAAAATCTTGTCATCGGCAGCCAGAGAGGTTTGACTGAGTGCTTGAAGAGCACTTACTTCTGTCAAAGTCATACTTTAAAAAAAAAATCCAAAACAAAACACGGCAAAAGGCAGTGCAGCCACATCTCTCAAGTGCCTTTAAGGTATATGATTGGAGTGTTAAGAATTTGGTGCTTTGATTAGAGCATTGATTAATATTGACCAATAAGTCCAACAAGCTCCATAATTACAAGCCACTGACCTGATTTTTTTTCTTCTCCTTTTGCATAAATTAGAGCTTGTCTTTTATAGTCTTCCTATAAAAAATTATGTTCAAATATTTGCACCATTTTACTACAGGGATGGGGAAACAGCACTGTTGCATTGCCCTTTGTGTCTCAACTGGGTGGGTCTGTGGGATCCCACGGCACTGGGATCACAGTGTTGTTTTGTCAGACGTAGTGCTATGAGAGGTGCATAATTCATTGTCCTTGCAGATAACATTACAATGTGCTTAGAAACCATCAGGCCACTTTCTTTTTGAATTATGAGATTGGTAAACATATACATTACAATTTAGTGGAGAATTTTTAAACTTTTGTGAAAAGCATTTCAGCAGAATATTGCTGTTGGGTGCTGGGATTTGTCATTGAAAGGGCTATTTTCTTTTTTCTTTTTAAGAGAAGGATTTTTCTTCAGAAATTCTGCCACGACCATGCAGTACATAATACGTAAGCAACTATGGTGCAGAGGAGTTACTGTCTGTTACTTATGGGAGCAGTAAATTTGAGATAAAAAATTCTACAGAAATAAAATATTGATGCCATTATGCAATAATCTCTCCATGCCAATATATTCTGCACTGTTCAAAGGTATGTTGCTTTGTTGTGAAGCATCAGTATATCACACTCCTACGAGATACGAGGATTTGGTATTTAAATCATAAGAATGGGTGTATCTACACTGCAGGGTGTCTGTGTGTTCTGGCTCCTGGAAATAAATGGTTGTGTTTGCCAGATCTGTTTATCTGTTTGGGGTGGCTGTGATGCGGTCGGCATCTCGTGTAGACCTTGCATGGGCAGCTACAGTTTCGGGGACTGGTGCCTGGGTGCTGAGGATGCAGAACTGCTCAGAAGTGTTGAGGAGCTTGTTGTATTTGTGAAAACAGGGCATACAAATAAAATAAGTTGTCTTACTACAAAGCACAGTGCAAAGGAGAGGCAGATTTCAACAACCTTCACGGAGTTGAAAACAATGACAGGCAAGTTTTTTTTTTTTTTTTTTTTTTTGTCCAATATAGACTCAAAACCGTGCTTGTTTACAGGCTCAGTACAAAAAATATAGTTGACATCCTGGGGACTATGACTGGGGCACTGTGACAGATGGTGTATCTCTCTGCTTACCTGTGTGCTCATGGTTTGCTGTGTGTTCATGCTGTCAGAAAGGAGGAGGAGGAGAAGGAGGAGGGGGCTTTGCTTCCAGGAGGGAGTAAAAGTAATGAAAACTATTCCTGGGTCACCCAGGAGACTGTGAATTTGTTGCAGTCCAGAAAGCTGTTGAAACTTAATGGACTGAAAGCAAGACTGGAGAAAAAGGATATTTAAATCTACCTTCCTCTAGTAAGATATAGTGACAGAGATCAGCAACCTTGTTTTCTGAGAAAGTACAGCAGGGAGTTTGACGCTAAAGTTTTGACTGATTTTCTTGTTACCCGTTCTGGTATCTATTGTCACTGGGCTATGTGCAGGACACCTACGATGTATAGCAATGTAACAGTGACCAAAAAGTACTGTCGTATCCTTGTAAATGGCAAATTACTTAAAAGGTGTCTAATGATGCAAAAGTGTGGAAAAACCTGGCATCTCAAGTAGAGGCAGTTGATGATGATGATGATAATGGAAGGAAACATCAGCCATGTGATTGACTTGTTCACTCCTGGGTGAAGATGCCACCAGCAGCTGTGCAGGTGTGGAGGGCAGCGGGAACACCCCCCATTGACTTGGTTTATGGTTTGTAGTGCCCCACCTCCTGAGTCGGTGGCTGGATGAGCTGTGGATGGTGGCAGTGTGGGAGAAGAGGCATGAGAATTAGTGACGGGACAGGAGATGTTGCAGGAGATGATGGCTGCACTTGGTGGTCACTGGGACAGTGCTTTATTTTTCAGTGAAAGAGCTGTGCTCTGTTTTGTCTGGTCTCTCTTTCTTTCCTTCTCCTGTTCCTCTTTGGTAATAATGAACATTTGTCTGATCTGGATTCAGTACCAAGCGGTAGGTCCTACCTGTGGTGATGGAGGGCCAGACCCCCAAGTGTCCTGGCTGAACACCTGACACAGCAGAGGTGGAAGGCCATTACAAGCATATGAAAGATTGTACTATGTATTTTCTTTCAGAGAATAAACCCCAAGGAATCGACTTTTTAAAGTTTGTACCATTGTAGGGTCACAGCTGGATGCTTTTATCAGCTTGCTGTGCTTTTATTCTGTCTTTACCCAATGGTCTTTTAAAAACATCTGAAGACTTTCAATCCCTCCAAAGACACACAGTGGAAATAATCTTATGTTTATTTGTCACAAAAAAATGCAGCTATTTTTCTGGGCCCTAACTATTAGAAGGGCAAATGAGGCCACTTAAAATGTTAACAACATTTGAAGCCAGGAGTGCTGGAGATTATACTGAACTGAAAGTTTAAGGATATTAAAAAAGACTGGCATTTTTTTGGCTAATAGTGGAGTTTCACCTGGTTGTACAATGGCTTTATTTCCTTTGTTATCGTCGGTGAAGAAAAAATTGTGGCCCCTAGGTAAACTTGGAAGTTTTTTCAGCTAGTATTCTCACTGGTCGTCTTGAATCTCAGGCTTGTCACCTGCTGGAAGGGATTGGGAAGTTGTGGTGGATACTGATGGGATGCTGAATTAGGATGCAAAGTTGTGTTAATGAGGCCCCCTACA